CAATATAAAGTCCCCTTGCCCCACCGAATCTGCTTGGAGATTACGTCCTGTCAGCAGTGCCATTTTTGGCACTATTGACAAGATTTTTTAAATCTTCCATTTTGGGCTCTATTGACATGATTTCTTCTTTGTTTTCATTTTTTTAACCAGTCAGAAGGCATATGCTACTGTACTGCAGATTAGGCGTTTCACGATGGCGGCTATCATCACGTTAACAGTTATCAATACAGAGTACTCCAGCAGATATATGTCAAAACTAGACATGTTCAAAATATAAATACAAGCGAATTTCATGCATAAGCTGTCTGAAATACGAAGGCAGTTACATAAGATGAAGACAATAAAAAAGACAAAAAGAAGTTGATCTCTATCCATTATTTATAATTTCTTTCAACAACTTCGAAATCAAATGGAACAAATCCAGGAAAATACCGCTGGTGTGGCATTTCAGCTAGCCGGCCCGCTAACAACAACAGCCCCCTGGCGCGCGTATCCAGCTGGCCACCGAATTTTACCGGCCCCACTGGGCCCCACAGTACCGGCAAAGGCACACTGCAGGGCCTGGCACGCTGGTTAGTGTTACTGGGGGGCGGGTTGTTGTGTTGCTGTTAGCACGCCTGACGGTTAACCCTGGGTGCCCCAGAGTCCGGCGTTTATTTGGCGATAGATTTTGGGAGAAACCGTATTTGTCCGCTACCATTATCCACCCAAACCTTCGTCCACGCGAAGCCCTCTAACGCCTCATGCGCGAGGAGATAATTAGACCCAGTGTGCCAAGTAGGTCTGCCGGGAGTATGGCTTCCCATGACTTTTACTTAGGAGATATAATAGACACTCGCGCGCGGGGTGGCACCCAGGCCTGGTGGCACCCAGGCTAGCCCGACGGGTACCCGCCGGTGGACCGCTGTGTCATTCCCGCGGCGCCGGCTGTAACAGGCCTGGGCTGTAATGGCTAGCGCTTACTGTCGCCCCGACTAGCCTCTACCAGGCACCGTGGATCGCTGGAAAAAAAATAGAAAATGGCCGAAATAAAGGGAATATATACCAAGGGAGTTAGCCGGCCAGAGAAGCTCCAATTGGCGACCTTGGTATATATTCCCTTTATTTCGGCCAATTTCTACTATTTTTCCAGCGATCCGCGGTGCCTGGTAGAGGCTAGTCGGGGCGACAGGCACGCACTGCCGCCGCATTGCTTACGGGAGGCCAGGCGCGCGCTACCGAGCGGGGGATCAATGTATGCACGACGATCTGCAGGGGCCGCAGCGCAGGATCGTAAAAAATGGCCTAATAGCATACATAACTTAGTAACACCTACATAAGAC